GTCGTCGTTGTGTGCACATCATTTTTCTTGACAAGTTTTCGTACGTCCACAGCCATTTTGTTCAAACCACGTTGTTGAGTATTGTCTTCTTCGTTTGTGAATCGACCGTTTGGTAAAGTATCGTTCGAGGCAATCAGATATTATCCAGCGCATTGATTTTCATTGTTTTTTAGTTTTACCAGCAGTCGCTTTGTGAATAACGTAGTTTTCATTCGTTGTGTCATAGTCCAGGGCTTTGGACCTTTGCAGTGTTTTCGTCTGTGATTGCGCTTTGGTGTTCGTACGTATCAAGTGCTGTGACTATTATTTATTATTTCCTATACTGCGGTGTGCCGTCGTAGGCAATTTTATAGAAACAGTACTGGTGCGTTCGCGTGGGATGCAATTCGCCATCAAACACAATCACAGGTCATCGTGAGTATTGGTCGATCATATTTGTTTCATTTGTGTAAAGGCCGACGGGTCTTACCGTCGCAGGCAAATCATTATAAAACGTATACATTTATTTATTTATTGTGCCTTGTGGGCCAGCATATTATTATTATTATCGGATATTGTATTTATTTATATTTATTACATTTGTTGGGTCAGCTAGGCCATGTTATTATTATAATTATATTTATTTGATTATTATTGTTATGCTAACCAGGCATTCTGATACATTTTCTATATATTCTCATTGAATTATTGTTATTTATTTATTTATTATAGCTGTTAAGGCACCATTATTTTTAATATAAGAGATGATAGCAGCGACACCCATAAACAACACAAATATCATTAAAATATTTCCTAATTAGAATTATATTTAAAACATTAATATTAGAATTCAATACATTTTTCGATTCTCTATGGTTAATATTTATAGCATAACAACTAAATAACTGATATCAAATAATTATAATGGATACTCATTGATCTATCAGATTACATCAAAATTCCAATACTTTTTTTTTCTCCAAAAAAAAATCCTATTCGAAATATTTTATCCAATTTTTAAGCATTAAGTTTGAAAATTGATAGATATATGAATTTAAAACTATACAAATTACCCGATATCATTTTTTCAAAATAAACTACTCAAACATTTTGTTAATTTTTCGCAATTATAAAGAAAACTGTTGATACATCCATAAAATGCTTCTATCTCAAAGTAATTCATTTCAGATTAATACACCAATAAAAGTTCAAATATAGGTACAAGTAATAAAAAATATTATTTGATCGCCCAACAACATCGGATGTTATCTTTCGATCCGACGATTCCGGCACCATCACCAGTCCGAAGATTCGTCGAAGACTCATGACGCGCCCAGCCCCGGAGCGTCGTCCGGTCAAGAAAAGTGGAACACCTCCCAGTGAGCTTGGGATAAGCCAGATAGGGCCATGCCCCTACCCGAAGATGCTTGGCCCTACCAGTGGCTCTACCACTGATCTGACCTTCGATATAATAATACAGTCATTTTTCATATGTAGAAAATATTAAATAATGGTAATTTTGAGTGACAAATAGTTACCTAACCACATTTGAGAGGTGATTTGTGTGGTGCACATTGCCTGTGCGGCCATTTCCCGTAGTATAAATAAATGCAATTCCTAAAATAAAAACTGTAAGATAAATAGTATAGTAGTGGCGTTAGTGAAAATCGATATATCTAATATTAATTTTCTTGAATGTAATTTAAACGTTTTATTCGAAAAAACCGCATAGCATTCATCTGTAGTTAACGAAATATTTACGATTTTGAAAATAAGATACTGGATTGTTTTTTTATTTACCACTTATATTTTACGGAAAAAAGAGGAAAAAACTCGTGTTATAATATAACATATATATATATTATATGCTTCTCAAATTAGTTAATTGTTGCTGTATATCATATGTTAATTGTTTTATATGAATATAATATTATGTACAAATATTTTGTTCAACGTGAACATTTCAAGTATGTTTAATAAACTATAATTATCTGTGAAAAAATGTGATTTTTTTTTTTTTTATCTTTTTCAATAACGACATTACATTAAACCCAGAATTTTAACATTCAATTAAATGTTTGTATTTTTCACATGGTATTTACTGTGCTGTCATGATTCTACCGATAGTAAATTATTGATTATAATATTACTTCTTATATGTCGGTTTAAACTAAGCATTCGTTGTACTACAAAGAATATCACAAAAACATCAAATTTTTAGAAACTAAAAACAAAAGGATTTCTTCAATGTTTAAAACGCGTTTAAATGTTTTTCGTGCGAAAACAGTGCCCAAAATTCTCTCTGGAAAATATTATGAATATTATTTTGTGCTTATCTCGAAATACATACTTTTTATGTAAACACGTTCTTTCAATTTCCGAAAAATGTCTTAAGTGTAAGAAACTTATGATAGTTTTTTCCATTATAAAGAGATTTCCGTCTTATAAGGGATACATTATAAAGATATTTAATCGTACAATTATAATGAACCAATGAAAAAGAAGGAAAAAATAAAATATATAACATAAACTATAAACGCAATCGTCATAACCACAAATGATGTTGGATTATAGAATCAAATTATGGGTATATTCTATTTTCGTTCATAACCATGGTTTGTTTAGAAACGAGTTACCTGTTAAACTCATTTATAGAGATAAATAAATAATTTATTTACAGTTTTTTTTTGCTGTCTGTATTACCAGTTATAGTTATAGATTCTTCAGGTAAAAGCGAAAATGGAGTGAGAAAAAATGGTTTAAACAGGCGAGAAAACAGTTACCGTTTTATAATATGATTTACGGAAGTCGTGAGTAGTTTTGGATAAGCTTGATACTTTTTTTTAAACCATTGAACGTTTTATAATTGACCGAACACTTTTTTGCATTCAATTTTTTAATAAGATGATTCGTAATTGCAAAACTGTGTCAGTTTTTTGGGTAATTGTTGATCCAATTTATGATATCTTCGGTTTGCTAAAAATATATTTTATACCTCGATGGCTATAAATTCAACTCGTAGTGAACAAATTTAATTTCAATTGATGTTCAAATGACGTCGACAAACAATGTATATACAACAATATACTATTCTAATTAGTAGTATAAGGTATTAACTATTTTCGAATATTATATTACTGTAAACGTTGAGCAACAGTGCAACACCAATGTCTATTATTATTTATACTACAATAAAACGAGTAATAAAATAATATATAGTTTTTTTTTTTTTTTTACTGTGGATGTGTATCTATTGTGTGATAATGCAAATTTAATATATTACTAAATTACATATTAAATTATTAAATTAAAAATAAAAAGACAGTCGAATGCCTTTATTTCTTTTTTTTTAAAAAAAAGTTTAAGAAACTGATCAAGAAAACAACTTGACAAAATGTGATGCAGATCAAGACCAACCTAGTAAAGAGCTTTTGGTAATAGAGTTGAACTATTTTTTTGGAATAATCTAAATGTTCATACAAGTATGTATTTCTTATTTCTATGTAATTAGTATAGCATATCCATGTCCATAAATTTAAAAATCAATAACACAAGGATATTTTTTTAGAAGAAACATAAAGAATTAGATCAATCCACATCAATGATTTCTGTGGAACAATCTGTAAGTACAAAGTTAAGAAAAGTTAATGATTAAAAATTAACATTTTTAATTCTTAAGTTTATTTGTATATTTTGATTTTAACATTGCTTCTATTTGATTATTTGGTTGTATGTAAATTTGCAATAATATGCTATTATTTATCAGCACATATTATTATATGTTTGAAATAGGCTACATAATATCATATAATACATATAATACACAATAATTGATATTAAAGAAGCAGTCAATCTTAAAGAAGATATAGTATTAGAGTTGAAGTTAATAGAAGTAATTGTGATTGTGAATTTCAAAAAATATTAAGTCAAGCAAAGGTATAAAATATATCGTTATGATATAATCACTTACTATATTAAGTTGAGTAAAATTTGTTATAGGAAATGTCTGCTGGACTAGACATTGAATTAACACTCAAAAGAACTATAAAAAACAAAAACAAAGAAACCATGCAAATCCTGTAACAGATGGATAGTTAAATGTAGAAACATACTATAGAATAACAGTTTTTCTACCTCATTTTGATTATTTTATAAATTAATTAGAAGAAAGGTTTTTGTCTCATTTAGATATTTTTAAAGGTATAGTTTTATAACATAATATTTACAAGGATTGAATATTATTATATAAATATTGTTAAAAAATAATTAATTCTTAATTATATTTATGTAGGGTTCGAATGCTTATTTTCAACAAATTCAAAGTTAACTGAAGATGAAAAATTATCATTTAAACAAGTCGTAGAATTGTATAGTCCTGATATAGAATATAGAATATTTTGACAAATCATTTTTGGAATTAAAATTATGGAAGCGTATGTTAAGCAAATGTGAAAAGCTTTCGAAATCTGGTTTCCAAGCACTCATGTGTGATGAACAAATTTATCCTAATATATTTTTGCTCTTAAAAGTATTATGTACATTGCCGGCCTCGACCATTTCACCAGATACTATGTTTTCTACTTTAAAAAAAGTAAAAACTTATCTCAGAAACACAATGGGTCAGTTAAAAATCATTGTTTTTGTAAATTACATAATAATTATGAACTATTATTAACTTAAATACTTAATAAGAACGCTTGAATGAATTTACTATGTTACCAATTCATCGGGACATTTAGTTTAACCTCGATGACGTATTAGATATTTTGACGAAAAAAAGAAAAAGAAAAATTGAATTAATATTATAATTTATGAAAAATATATTTAGTTGAATTTGATTGTTTACTTTATTGTCTTTGAAAATCATAATTATACAATTGGCCTCATTTAATGTACTATTGAAATATATGAGATTTGATGATTAAGGAGGTGTGGAGGGGCACAGTTTCACTAGAACGATAGAATAAATTTATATCCCAATCCCACTCCAAAACCAATCCCAAATTACGCCACTGCCGATGCCGAACCTGTTCTATTCGTTATATTTGAAACACGTTGCCTACTCGTCCCAATGACTACTATGACGACGGTTAGTTGTATTTAAATATTTTATTATTCAGAACCGTTCCAGTTCGATTTGTTTTTTAGAAAAAAAAAAATATAATATATTTATATAAATATTACGTAGGTAATGCACTTTCTGTGTATTTTATCGATTGCGATCGCGGTGGCGGTAGAAATTCCACAGATCGACGATCATACCGAAAATCGATTTGCGCGAGTGGCTTACGGCGAGGACTATGATCACGAGAAGTATGAGTACGTGGTAATGCTATTGGGAGAGGATGAAAATTCATCGGAGATCGCGTCACTATGCTCGGGATCGTTGTTATCGCCAATAGCGGTGTTGACCGCCGCTCACTGCACCTATGGCATGACCGCATCCAAGCTTACCGTAAGTAACAATTAGATATTAGCTCGATTCGTAATAATTATGATGATTTTGTGCAACAAACATCATTGGCGCTACCGTTACAGGTCGTAGTTCCTAAAACTGCTTCTGATGATGTTCGTCTGTCCGAAGTCCAGAAAATATATCAACATCCAGCGTACAAAAAATTAAAAACCTTCGCTGATTTAAGTTTGTTGAAAGTAAACAATAGTATTTCATTTTTTCCCAACACATTACGAATTTATGTTGAATTTACTTATTTGAAATATCTGCGTATACATAAAACGGTGGAGTTTTTAAACAAGCACTATACTATATTTATGCTCAAATTATGCGTTCGGTGAAATTCTGATTTGAAGAAAAATGAATGCATAACATTTACACCGTATGACCATATTTTCCTATGCATATTGTACATCATTGCACGGGTTAAAATATTCGCACAATAGACAATATGGATAATACTCTTGATATGCATAATGCGAATTAGAACAGTACAATTTTAGGGATGAGAAATTTTCATTGATAAATTTATTTCACTACTGTAACTTATCAATTATTTTGTAGTTACTCGGCCAGTAGTAAAATTCGGACAAACAGAATCTCAGTGTTAATCTCGAAAAAGTATCCTGTAATATTAGTACAAATTACAATACTATAAATACGATCATTCCATTTAACTTAAAACGGTTTCTATTTATAAATACGGTAATTGAAACAATAGATCTAATGTATGCATTATCGGATATCCTTTGAAGTTCGCCGTGTGATAATATTTAAATAATTTTATGTTGGAATTATTTGCCTTATATTTTAACTATAATTTTTATTACTGAATTATATTTTATTAAATATTCTTTTTGAATCCTTATGTCTTATTATTTATTATATTTATTTCTGTTCATTGCGCAACTATCACAAATAAGAAACTAACAACTGATCAATATTTTGAAAATTATTAAAAATGCAAAAATCTAAATTTTTATCAAAACATAGTTTTCAGAAATAAACCTGATTTTTTGTATTTTAAGAATTAAGTTAATAATACATATTATAAATATTAGAGAATATTCAAATAAATTACTATAAATAGTATTTTAGTGGTATTTCAAGTGCTGTATTAAACAAGTATTTGAAAAATTATTTAAATGTTTTTCAAAAGTATTTTTTACAACAGTGGAAATCTCTTCACTTTTCATGGAAGTCTACTTATAATTTAGAATATTTTTGTGGTTTACTTGATCAAAAACCCAGTTGGTTTGTACTATTTACTATTCATGTGTGTCATAGCCGTCAGATTAGCATTAATTAACTTGTCAAATTACTTATAATTACTTAGAAACTTAATGGTGATTATTCCGTGAATTATTTTCTCATTTACTTAATAAATACTAGGATTTTGATACTAATTTTATTGTTTGAAAATAAAGTTAGGTTAGGGCATTGGATCAGGATTTCTCAAATGATCGATAAGTATTGGGAGCCCCAGTATTTCATATTACAAACCCTCCCATTCTTGTGTTAATTTTGCAATTGTGTTCGGATGTATAAGCATTATGCATCAACGCGTAACATGAGTTTTATATTTTATAATTATTACAATATTTCTCTTGAGCAAAATCATATTTATTAGGTGGTTTGTTTTGTTTGAAATATTTTAGTACGTATCACTGTTATTATATTGACCTACAATTGCATACTTCATCGCGTTTGATGTGATTTTGAATTGCAATAATACCGTACTTATCCGCAGTGCCAGATCTAAGAGGGGAAATAAGTGGTTATGCTTGTATAAGGGCACTCTAAGATTTATGAAATCTAATTTGTAATATATGATGTCTACGACTTACGCGACGAAAACTATACAAAGGTGCATTAATTCTTGTCCTTTGTCTTTCGTGCACGTTATGCATTGGCACTAAACACATGCATTTACTACATTTAGATTAAGAGACCGTTTATAAGTATCAAACGTTTCGCGTCAATTGCCGGCCTTCCTAGTGATTTCGTTGGCAACACAGGACGAAAATGCGTCGCCATCGGGTTCGGCGATAAAGCGCCGGGTGATATGTCGGAAAACGGGCAAATAATAAATATCACCATCCAATACGGCAGCGACAAATGCAAATCCATGCTGGAAGATGATGGGTAGTTATAATAATAATATATATCAATAGTTGTAACAGTTATTAAACTCGCCTTAAATAACAAATCTAACGTGTGAACGTTTCTATACCATAATATTTATTTTCGATCCTATCAACCCATATCGACAGTCGGTGACCGAGAGCTATACGATTATTATTACGCACTCAAATTTTATTTCAAAACGAACGAAATCAATGACTAATGGATTGCCGTTTTCGTCGATATCGAAACTTGATTTTAAATTTTACGAATTTGTTAGTTTTAGTAATTTATTTATTCAAAATTGGTCTCGTCACAACCATTAACTTTCGACATTTATTGACTTTAGGAACTAATAGCTAACGGTTATTTACTTTGAATATTATAAAACCAGTCTGTTGAATACAGATTGTTTAAACAATATAATGGGAGATTTTTGCGAGAAATGAATAGATTGAAAGTATTAAACGATGAATTATATGATGTTATCATGTTATAAAGATTGTTTAGTTGAGGAGACGGAGATAAAGGAAGGGATAAAAAGAATGCGAGGAGTGTTTCGGATTGCCTCGATATTGCGGAGAGTGATTAAATGCAGCATCTGTACACAGTACCACGATTGCAAAATATGTAAATACTCCCCTGCACTTGTTCCGTAAACTCATATATTTTCATTGTTTTACGTACAGGTTCAGTAATGAACTTGGAAAAGCAGTGCACGAAGAATTCTTATGCTCAACAAACGACAATCATACGGTGTGCCATGGAGACAGCGGTGGTCCGTTGATATGTGGCGAACACCAATTTGGCGTGTCTAGCAATGTTATCGTTGGCGAACAAGACGACAATCATTGCGGTAGGTATGAAGACATGAGCAGGTTCGTGTTTCTCTACCATTACAGGGACTGGATATCATCAAGTATGGACTCTATAAACGACGGGAAGTCTGACCTACTACACCATCGGTTATTTGTCAACATCTTAGCGACATTAATCGTGTTGTGTGTACAAAATTAAAATGCTACATTTGATTTACTTATATAATTGTTATTGGTAAAAAACTAATGTAGTCACACTGGTAAGCATCCCACAGGCTCACTTTTCAAATGTGACACGATAAAATCGCTTTGCTTTCAATATAATTTTTCGGTTCATATACTTTTTTAGTCAATCGATGAAGTTATAAGGAATTTTTTTAGGAGAGGATTAATTTTGTTCTGAAAAATCTGTAAACTTAATATCCCTTCCAAAATAAATCTGAAACTTTGTGAAGAAAAAAATTATTTATATTATTGTTGTGTTAATATTGAATTTTTCATTGTTTCGAAAAAAAAATAACGGCACAAAGGAATAAGACATCATACGAGTGGTATTTATTAGTAACTTTTATATTCTACTATTTTTAATTGTAGTATTTCTTTCATGGCCGTTAGAACTCCACGAACTGTACAAATTCAATATTTTTTATCTATAAACTTTTTGGAAATATTCGTTTCTTGGGTGTCACCGATAGCTGGAAACCTGTGAGTCACCGTGCCACACAATTCAAATTTGCTGTGAATTATTATTATTATTAATTAATCCACTTACACGCAACATTTTTTAAAATCCTTTCTCACTGCACTTTTTAAGTATTAAAGGAACCATTATTTCAATGTATTACTTTTTTTTTTTAATGGCTACCCTAATTTTTTTCTACCTTTCTTATAATTTTTTTTTTCAAACAGTTTTTCAAATTGATTAAATGCGAGTAAGTTAAATTTGAAGTTACTTATTATTTATTTTTTACCAAATTTTAGATTTATTCAAAATCATTATAGTACAAAATATATGCTTATTGCGTTATATAAAATTTTGAATTCATATTTTTTATCATTAAAATTTCGAATATACTTTTTACTCTTTAAAGTTTTTATACTTGAAAGTATTAAACACTTTCAGTGTACAATTTCTTTTTTTTGGAAAATTCGATGTATAAAAATCGTATACGAGACCAGTATTAGTTAATTATGTTATCCGTTGTCATTCGTGTTCATTTTGTTTGTTCACACCAGCCTTTCACCAGGAGTCGATGAAAAAGGGTTATGATGGTTAAAAAATAATAATAATCGTTTTCGGTGAATCAAATTTAATCTGATAACATTTTAAGCTTTACAAAAGTAAACAAAATTTTGCTATTATATTTCTATGAAAAACAATATACTGGAGGTAGTGATTCTTTATTTTTGAAGTATAATATTTACAGATCGGTATGGTTGCAATTGGACATTTTTACCATCTTGAAAAATCATTAATAATCTTATATTTTATCTTGATGACACCAAGTTGATGTTGTCTTGGATAAATTTCTAATAAAAGCCGAGACACAGAAAAGCGGTGTACAATTGTAACACGGCGTTTTGTATAGGCAAATTAGCAGCATTGGTGTGTTATGACCGCAGATATATCAATAAATACAGTCTTTGTTATTGTTACTATATGGAATAATTTTGTTTAAGCTTGGGCATTTACGAGTTGATAAGTTAAAAGTTAAATTAATTTAACTTATTAACTTAACTCATTTCATTAAAAATTAACTTGAAATTAACGAATTACTTTTTCATTAATCCCAATCAAGTTAATTTTGTTTTTCAAAACCATAAAAATATTTTTGTAAAATACCGCATTCGACAAGTTCAGGGAGTTTAGAATAGTATAAAAATAAAAATTTCGAAGAATTTTTAGATGAGACCATGATATTTATCTCGTTATTAACTATTAATTGGGGTCCCATTGGTCTCGGGAAAAGTACTCAACCGTCTTCAGAGAAAAATTTGAGTAAAATTAGCCATGCCACCCATGAATTAGATTATCATTGTCATGAAAAGTGGCCGTAAATTTATAATATAAAAATAGGTACATATTTTCATTGAATAAATAATTATTAATAATAATTGTATTCTATTATTATAAGAATTATTCCATAATCTATAAAATTACTAAAAAATATCGATATTATTAAATATTATAGAATAAGAAAAGAAATTTAATAGCTGATCAACATTCTGAGATGACTTATTGAGATTCAATAGGTATTTTGATTAATCTGTCCATTATATTGTTTTATTTATTTAGATTATAATAAAATTAAATAATATTATATATTTATTTTAATGTTTTGTATCAACTGTATAAATTTATCACCTGTATAATTGTATAGTTACACTTTCAGTTGCAATAATTATTTTTAGTTTTCATACTATTATTGAATATTTAAAAGAATACTTTTTTTTGAAATGATATTTATCATATGTGATTTGTATGAAGAATGAATAAAAACAAACGATACATAAATTACCATAAATTTAACATATGAGTGCTTAAAAACATTCCCAATAAAGAAATGTATTATTTTCTGCTCTATTTCCAGTCTTTTTCTGCGTATTAACTTAACTTATTTATTTAAGAAAAGTTAAGATAATGATATTTTTTAACTTAATTTTTAACTTAATTGAATACGAACTCAAATAACTTAACTGAGTTAAAAATACCATTAACTTGCCCAGGATTGATTTTATGTAATAAAACTTTACTCAATGGATTTACGTTTGAATGGATTCTCTATAGATACAGGTAAATTTTTCTTAGAAGTTAGTACTATAATATTTCAATGTTTTTTTGCACTTTTCGGGGGTAAATAGTTTTCGGGGAATTATTAGCTGCAGAGCATTAAATTAAAAAAAAAAAAAATCTGTCGTTAGACAACTGAAGAATACGTAGTTCAATAACACAAAGAGAATATCAAAAGCTCAAAAACATTTGTTGTTCTTGTGGAAATGACACGTGAAAAAGTAATATCTCTTCTCCAAACTCATATCCACCAAAAGAGAATCTTCCTCGCACCTATATCTGTTCTGAAGTTCGGAGTCTATTTTCTCGCCAATCGCAGTTTCACACCTTTCCATGCTCTTTGATTCTCTTCAAATGCCAATGAAAGTCCATCTTATCCGAACAGCAAATGTCGTTGCCTCCTTTTCGCTATAATCGAATCATTCAAGTATTATTTTTATATGTATATACGATTAATACTGTGTAATTCATTCAAATGTTTTTTTAGGCTTGTATCGTGAATAATAATAAATATTTAAACAATACATCTTTTCGCGGAACTGTATGATGAATCGACTGAAATATTATTACCGTAATATAGAATAATAATAATAATTTTTATTTTTATTGTTATTTATGTCTTCGAATAGATAATAGGCCCCACTGAACAGGTTTGATAATAATCAATTGGAGTTTCAGTTGTAATCAACAGCTGAAACGGACCAGTCGTAGTATACAACGGTCGTCCGGAAGTTATGTGCTATTTTTTGTGTGAAAACATTTTGTACGGCATGTTCAGATCTTTCCGCTTGGGAAGTGAGCATTTTCGATCGTTACATTTTTCACGTAACGTTCGATTATTATATTATTAAATTGAGAGTTGGTTTTCATGAAATTGATATCTAAAGTTCTACTGGACTGATTTGCATAGTGTTTTTTTTTTTTAATGCGAGTGCTTGACGTGCAAATGAGCAATCTAACGAGAAAAGTTCAAAAATATGATAAGTTAAATGGTTATTAGAATGAATATATTAGATATGATAAATGTTATTAAATTGTCCGTGTTTACAATACCGGTTTGGTTTCAAGACTGCGGCTAGGCGCGGCGATACAAAACAGCCACATGAAGGGGGAAGTTTGTGTGGCCACGTATTACCGTTTGGCCACCACCGGCCGCTGTCGTATCCTGAACCTCACTCAACGTTAGATAACCACCCATCGCTTGACTCGGCTAGACAAAGGTAGAACGGTGGCATAATTGACTCTGATTGACCAAATATAATTCTTAAATATATTCGATCCTATCCTAAAAAAAATATGAAAACACATATTTTATATTGAGAATATTTCAGATTCTACATTTCTAAGCTTATATATGTATATGTTTTCACATCTTCCGAGGGTAGTCCGTAACACTTTTCGGTTATTTATAACATCAATTGAGAAAGTGACAAAAAAAAACCTATTTATTTTTTTAACGGTGTAAACTAAAGACATAAATACTGCTGTTTTTTTAAAAAAAAAAAAAAAACAAGATGTAAAGGCATAGAACGCCGGAAACATTTTTACGGGGTCAAACTGTAGTTTGACCACGCTAATCCTTCTTTACGCTAGTTATGCCCTTGCTTGTGAAACAAATCGATTACGAGGGTCGTCGTGACTAGATTTTTTTATTTTTAAGCACATACATTTAACGACTAATTTATGTTATGTTATGCGCTACGACTGATACATATTAAATGAATTGAACCACACAGGTAGTTTATGTTACACCCGAAAGACTGCAATATAATATCGGAAGGTGAAAATACCGGAAGTGGTGAAAATGGAAAAAAAAAATTAAGATTACTTTTGTGAAATGTCAGTGTTGGAAAGGAAAGAAATGCAAAATAATAATTTTGGTCGGTAATTTTTTAACACCTGATTTTTATGACGGCATATCGTAATTGAAAGCAAATATTATGCAGAATTTTGTATAACAATCGATATAATTAGTATATCGTTCAACGAGGATTTCAATATCTTTTAGTTGAATAACAAGAGCAACAACAAAGAAAATTGCGTTCCTAAAACTTGGAATAACAGTGATAATATTCGAGCGAGAATATGTTTGTAAATCGTTGTACAGAATTGTAGATGTACAAATTTTTGAAATTATTATTCAATTACGTTATTTTAATAAAATCATTCCATGTACATAACTTGACACGAAATTTTTCGATTTAAAAGAATATAATAGCATAAGGTAAAATATATAAGGTCTACGACCTAATCTAAATAAAGCAGAAATCTGTCTTCTCCAGAAATGCTTCGCGGTCATGGCAGATAAATGAGGGTTTTCAATAAGTCGGAATCTCCGTCCAAGCTGGAAAACCGTCTTGATCCCTTAAGATTTTGTATTTGACACATTTCCCTCGGTGGATTTGAGTTTTGTCCACCCATAAATAGTAAATTTACCATTTCTAACAGCAGTGATTAATAATACGTTGGATTATTCGAAAATTAATCCGATGTATGGA